ACGAGTCACGGCAACGGGGGAACTCCGTAAGGCTTAACGCACGCAACCGGCACTTCTTGAATGATCAAGCTCAGTGCCGGAGCCCAGCAGGCACGGTCTCCCGCCGCTGAGCAAAAGGCCGAAGCCCTTTACGCATGCGCAGCCCCCCACAAATACCGATCAGCGAGACCACCCCTAGCCTTAGATAAGACCGAGTGGCCTGCCTCCTGAAGCACCTCAGGAGCAAGTGGCCTATTGCCCTTGCGCCAAACTGGTAACGGCAGACTCTACCACCTAGAAACAGCCACCTCAGCCCCAGTCTCACAGACCGTACAGCGGGCTGCTCTTTAAACAGCCCGAACACTCCGCGCTCTCTGCGCGCCTCGTCCCTCACTGGACGAGCCTACTCTCACTCCCACGACACACTCACAGAACCCTGATTTTTTCTTCTCTAATTGTTCTGCGCCACATTCCGCGCATCACAGAAGGTCCATGAATGTGATAGGTATACACAGCACTACTCGCGCGCGCTCCGCGCTTGCACATGAGACTTACTTTAGGCCATCGTTCAGCTGTCAAGAGTTCCTTATTACACCGTCTCTACCACAGCCTTGGATAGAACAGAAGAAAGAATGAAGCACAAGCTTCATTCTTTCACAAGTCACACCTGTCTGAAGTTCTAGCCTAGGGCCTGAGTCATAGCCTATGCTACCGGCATGTCCTCATTTATTATCCAATTTTTGATTTAACTACTAATTCAGACACGAATCGCATGCGACATGATCTGGCATGACAGCATGCAATCCTCCCATGCAATCAAGATGCATGTAACCCGACTTTTATGTCATGCGACAACTTTCGGCTTGCAGCAAAAGAGGCATCCTTGGTTGCTGCAAGGTAGCAAACGACTCCCGCACACCGTCAAGCAAAGTGACATAATTTACAGACGGTGATGGGCAATGAGAATGCCCGCCGCCGCTCCATGTGATCCATCACAAAGCCTCTACTCTAGACTCTAGGATATGCTGACGGCCTTGGATTTGGCACTCTACTAGCAGACTTGACCACACTGCCTAGCTTTTCCTAGCCCACTTCGGGCCCTTCAATCCTGGCTGTTCTGGGTTGTAGTACTCCATCTCGCCGCTGTAATCTAGCCCCGGCGCCATGCCGGTGGGATCCACCTTCTCCTCCGCTCTTGCCGCACCGGAGCTGCTCCTCTCCAAACTACCACTCCTGCGCGTCTCCAAACTACCGCTCCTGCGTGCCCAGCTTGGCCCCTTCGCCTCCGTCCCCGGCGACGGCCTCTGCACCCCGGGGGAGGTGAACCGCCCCCCGGGGGAATCTTTGTTGACGCTCTGAGGCGACTCAAGCTGCCCCGACGCCGCACTCAATGGCGACTGGCCCGAGCGTGTGGGGGTGCCTCCTCCACTGTACGACCTCCGGGCCGGGGAAAACTGCCTGATCGACCGCGGGGATGGGGGAATGACTGGTGCCGGAAGGACCGGGGAGGAGTCAGCGACCGGGGAATTAATTGTCAGCGCTGGGGGGAAGCGGGTCACGACCTTGGGGGCCTCGGCAGCCGGGGGAATCGTCGGGGTCGCGATTGGGGCGGTGGCGGGGGTTCCCCACGACTTTCGCCCCTCGGCGGCGGCGAGCCCGGCGCCAAGGGCAGCGGCGGTGACCTGGGAAAGTTCCTGTGGGGAGAGGGACGAGGAGAAGGTCAAGGAAGTGGGGGGGTGGTTTGTTGCTATCTTGTTGTCGTTGTTCGCTTGATTGTAAGACGGGGAAGAAAGCGCAGTTGATTGCCGGCTGCACATCGATGTGCTGGGTTTGAAGCAGGAGCGGGTGAGAGGGGTTTAGTTGCGCCAGGCAGCAGAGACATCACGGAAAGCCGCTCTGCGGAGCAAAGAAGCGTCTGAGCCGGACCAAGGGGAGGCTGGAGCACATTTGAGCTTTGGAACGACGCAGGTACCATCTGATGAAGGGAAGGCAGCTGGCTTGCGCTCGTTGAGCTCGTTTCAGAATTATCCTGTTCTGTAGTTGGGGCTCACAATGAGGGTTGGTTCAGCTATTCGATAAACGCTCAGGACGTAAAGCTTACCAAGCCAGAACAAGTAGAACAAGGACGGCCGCATCGTCGCTCACAAAGCTCAATGAGGCAGTGTACAGACTTGGGGAGTAACCTTATCTCATTCTCATCGACATTGTGGCCATGCAATTTCCCCTGAGTCCAGTCCCGCTCTCTTTCTGGTTCCGGAAGGCCAGGCTCAGACCAAAGGCTGACTAAATCCAGGTTTCGATCGTCGAAAAGCTCACTCTGCTCTGGGGCCCCGACTCAGCCCTGGTGACGCCTGAGTCAAAATCGATGGTGTGGAATGCAGCAGAGTTGCTCCGCTCAACCGGGGCAGCAGAAGCGAATTCCCGAGACAATCCGGTGTTGGTCAGATCCTGCATTAAGATGAGCTTCGCTCAGTTCCTCTAGATCACTCTCTCATTACCTGCATAGTACGATTTTGCTGAAATGCACGAACGCTGATCAATCCGACTTGTTTCCCTGAGTACCGTCAACTCAACTCTGCCAGTTGCTATGCATTTATCCTTGTCCTTGTCGGCCTGTCCATTGGTAGCTAGCGTGCTGGCTCTAAGCCGAGCGAGATAACCTTCTGCCAGTGAAGACCGACGAGTAGAGCGTTCCAGCAACAACGAAGCTTTCTCGAACCGTTCTCACGTATTCCTCCGAGGCTGATGCTTCAACCCGGTATCGAAACCTCCTAATGTGATCGCTTGAACCGACAATCGATGTCTCTAACAGTGATAACCGTGCCCCAATCTCGCAGGCAAATCAGCTTCTGAACGTGTCCAACCCGAAGACCCTGCCAGCTGTTAAACTACTCACCTGGGAAGCCTTGCGGCGCACGGCCCGCCCGTCGATGTCGTAGATGATGATGTCGCTCGTGTCGCTCCCGTTGGCGCTGCTGCGCTCCGTCTCCTGGTACACCACTTTCAGCGCTTGCACAACTTCCACCATGAACGGCCGGTGGGACACCTCCGGCTGCACGCACATGCTCGCGATGGCCGCCACGCGCGCCACGTCATCAAAGTTGTATCGCCCGCCCAGGGCGGGGTCGACCAGCTGCTCCAGGCCCGGCTTGGACGTCAGCAGCGGGCGTGCCTGGGGAGGAGGGTTTGGGAAGGGTTAGCGGCAGTTGCGGGCGGGTTTGTATAAGGGAGCTTGGAGGGGGCTTGAGAGGCCATGAGCGAGGTCGAGAAGGCTGAGAGAGCGTTGTGGGGGGAGTGTCGAGGGGTTGAAAGGTGTTGTGGCGATTGTTGAGCGCAAAAAGGCAGAGTCTTGAGCTTTGTCAATGCTCTGTCCGACGCTGCCTCTGACAAGAGTGGACCGAAGTAGTGTTCCGGATTGGTGTCCCAAGAGGTTTAAGCCGCCGAGCCTAACAGGATGACAGGGCGGGATGAGAGGGGAGTTCCCCTCCGGTTGTCGTCCCAGTGACTGAAACGGTGGCACATGAGGGTGTGGTTGACGAGAGAAGCAACTTGTCGGTGAAGCCACGAGCACTCACCCAGGTCACGAGATTCTCCTGGCCCGGGGGCTGATCCATGTCCACCGGCTTGCGGCCTGAGAGCAGCTCCAGAAGCACAACTCCGTAGCTGTACACGTCACTCTTGACGAGCAGGTGCCCCGTCATAGCGTACTCTGGGGCAACGTACCTGCAAACCAGAAGTCCGGTAGAGATTCAGCTCTCCAAAACATTTGCTGTGCCACCTGTCACGCCTTCTCTTGATCACGCGCTTGCAAGACAAAAGGAAACAAGAAGAGGTGCACTTTCAAGAGACAGACGTCCAACTGAAGGGGATCCGCTGAGGGCCTTGGTGGCAAGCATCGCAAGAAGCGACTTCATATTGGAAATGTGACTTTCTATGGTTCTTTCTTTTCCCCAGGTATGCACAGCCTCGTTGGCCACTCCAAAGAGCATCGAGTAAGATAGGGAAATCGCAACGAGACAGAAACGCTCTGGCTGTCGGTCACCGTTTCTTGGCTCGTGAGATACTCGCGAATTTTGCTGGCGGCAAGCTACGTTGATGTTGCAAGCCAGAGCCGTCGATCGAGGTAAACGAATGACAAAGTAGTTCGGCTTTGAGCTGTAGAATATACGAAAGCGTCGATGTGGAATAAGCATTCTCGCAAGGAAGCACAGAGAAACCAATGAAACATCGGCCACAAACTCAAACTTAAGCGCAAACATAAGCGTTCTGTGCTTAGCCGATACATGAACACGAGCAGCCCAAGATAGCAACGGGGCGTACCCAAAGGTGCCCATGACCCTCGTCGAGATGTGTTCCATCTCCCCGTCAGGCGCCGCCTTGGCCAGTCCAAAGTCGGACACCTTGGCCGTGTAGTCGTTGTCCAGCAGAATGTTGCTCGCCTTAAAGTCGCGGTGGATGATGCGAGGGTTCGAGTCCTCGTGCAGATACACCAGCCCCCGCGCGGCACCCAGCGCAATCTTCACGCGGGTCTCCCAGTCGAGCGGTTTGTCGTAGTTATCAATTCCTGAAGAGAAGCCAGGAAACAGCCTTTTAGCTGCTATAACTTTTGACTGGCAATATTGAACCTAGTTCAAAGTGGGCGTTCTGCTACATCGTGCAACAAAATCCTGGAGTTCTTTCTTCACAATGTTCGTGTTGTCTGCTGCCTCTCCTATAACCCCTTGGAAATGAACAAAAGACGCTCTGAAACATGGACTGAAAGCACCAGGGTGCAACCAAGATGGAAAACGCGGATGTTTTGCAAAACATCCGTAGCAAACGTCCGCAGCACGTCCAAAATCACATAACTTCCAACAAAGGAACTCAACCAGGGCGTCCAGTACTGACGGATGTGGTGCAACTACGTAACCAGGAAACCGGACCGACCAATATGAAAAATCTCAAGATGCATTGGGGTGCCTGCTTGCCATGCATGTGCGACTCAACGCTGCCGTTGGGGAGCAAAGATACCAGTATTCAACAACCACGGAAGTATAACTGGGGGGCACTGCAGAAAGAGGAAACTGAACCAATCAAAGCAATTCGTCTTAGATCACAATTGGGTGCCTGCTTACCATGCAGGTGGGACTCGATGCTGCCACCGGGGAGCCACGACAACCGGTATCTAAATCCACAGAAACATAGACGGGATGGCACTGCAAAAGAAGGAAACTGACCAACCAACGTGATGTCTCAAACCGCCTTCGGGTGCCTACTTACCGTGCAGGTGTGACTCGACGCTGCCGTTGGGAATGAGGTCGTAAATGAGGAGGCGGCCACGCGCGCTGGCATGGTACCCCACGAGCTTCACCAAATGCTTGTGATGCAGATGGCTCAGCAGGTCAACCTCCGAGATGAACTCCTTCGTGCCCTGCACCAAAAAAGACCTGACGTCAGCCAACTTGCTTTATAAGCGTTTGTATGCGTTGCTGACTGTGCACGACGATGGATCCAACCTCGGCAAGCCCTGCTTGGGGCTTTATTTCTATGCCGTCTGCTGAGTGGGGGCCTACAAGGGCGGTCAAGCTTCACTGAAGCATGGAAAACGTCTCGTGGTCCCACCCTGGAATACAACAACGGCCTTAACTTCGATGGCTCCTTCACATACGAGACACGCATGCACAAGGAGGATCCTAGCGGGACCACGAAGTCCATTCTGTGTCCAAAATGATCAATCAAGGCTGCTGCTTCTCAAAGCAGTCTCACCGAGTTCCAGAAATGCAAGGACCTCCTTCGTGACCCACTCCAAAGGCGTCTGAAACTGTGGCTCTCACCTGCGTCCCGTCTCTGGTCAGCCGTTTGACCGCAATCGACTTCCCGTCGGGCAGCTTTCCGCTGAAGACCTGTCCAAAGCCGCCCTCTCCCAAGATGTGGTTCGGGTTGAAGTTGTCGGTCGCCTCCACGATCTCCTGGAACGTGAACTCCCGCGCCGATCCGGACACCGTGGGATAGCTGGACTCGGTCTCGTGTCCGAGCGAACCGACCGAGAACACGTGGGCTGCAGGCAAGGGAGAAAAGCGAGTGAATTAGGAGCAAAAGAGAAGCAAGTGGCTTGTGAGAGTACCTTGGCGGCTTCGGGCAAGCTGAGGGCGATGTATCCCGTTCTAGGCCAAAAATATAAAAAGCATGCTACAGCAAGGACTTGCTGCTCACATGGGCGCCATCACTGCCACAGCGGTGTTGAGTTCAACGATCCTATCATGCAACAAACTCCCTTTTGGAAAGCTTGACACAAGGCGAAACATGCTACCTCGCCTTCAAATACTTTTGTGACACCCAAACTTGTCAGAGAAGAGGTCGACCCTCTCCCTTGTTAGAGCTCCAATGAGGTACGAACCGAACAGAGCAAATCCTAGCAACAACACCGGGATCGGAATATCCATCGTCGTTGCACCATTTACCGCTATGCAGCCTGCTCTGTCGTATTGAGCTCCCACTGCCACTTACGAAGACTTTTGGAGAGCCCTTCCTCTTTGCTGCGCTCCCCCATGTCCGCTGACTTGCTGTCCGGCCGCCGCCGTCGCAGCACCACAAACCCTATCAGCAAACAGGTCAAGAGCCCGACTCCGCAAACTGCTCCTGCCACAATTCCAGCGACTGCTCCTGTGCTCAAGGAACTTGAGCTGCTGCTAGGGGAAGCATCGGGGGGGATGCCAGGGATGGGGCTGCCGGTTGTGGGCACCGTAATTGGGGCTGCAATGGGCACCGTGCCTGGGGCCGGGGGGGGAGGTTTCACACCTGTGGTAGGAGAGGATTGCACGTTGTGAATCGTCATGGAGAGACCGTGAGAGGTGTATGCTTTGGGAGACAGGGTCCAGTCCCATTTGGCAAGGACTGGGCTCTGTCAGGCGTCTTAATAAAACCTGCAACATTGTCTTCACAGACCAGGCTGGAACGCTGGGCAAGGGAATGAGCGGTTCCGTTCCTTGAGAGACTGAAACACTCTACATCAGGCCTTTGCTCATCCAAACCTAGGACGTAAAATTAGTTCTGCCCTGCATTTTTGACGTGCTTGAAATGTCAAATCACTGATGGGAATGAACGCGGGGAATCTTGAAAATAGTGTTAAAGCATCAAGCTTGGAGCATCAAATATTGGAAACGGTTTCTGAGCGTGATTGCAATTGACCTGAGGGCTTTGATACGCACTGATGCCAACATGCTGCTCACAAAGTACAACCAGCGTCAACCAGCCACGTACCTGGGGGCAGGATCTGGATGACCGAGTAATTTCCAAACAGTGTTTGGTTCAAGCTCAGCTGCTTGTTCAGGAGCAGGTCCGTGATTGCCGCTGTCTGGTTGTTGGACAGCTGCATTGGAGCGGAATCCTCTGCAGTAGCGACCGGCAGGAGCCAGGTCGTCACAATGAGGTCCTGGGTCTGTGACTGAAGCAACCGGCGGCTGTTGCGCAGAACCACCCGGAAAGCTTGGACCTGCAAACAGGAGGGGGCGGATCCTTGTGAGAGAAGCTGTCGAAAGTATAAAAACTCCTTGGCAGGAGCTGCGAGAAATCGTCGGAGCAGTTTCTGGCAGAGACAAGTGGTCTGACTGAAGGCGTGGATTGTACAAATCCAGTAAACATGGTGAATGGGGGTTTTCAAACAGCATAAGGGAGTAGATGATACTCAATGACACAACACGTCCGTTTTTCGTCCCAATGCTTGAAGGCAAGTGTAAACAGCACACAAAGCCCCTCCAGCACAAGAAACCTATCAACAAATAATAGATCCTCAATCAAAGACAATGATGAGCAGCCTAATGTAGCCTCAGACTGAGGCCCTGAGCTGTTGACACGTTGGATACGAAGCGACACTTGGGAAGCACTCGATCGGTATCCAGAGCGAAACCCCCAGCCGGAAAAAGTAACATGGAGAGAATAGAAGGCCAGCAACCGGCTTACCGACACTTGGGCGGCAGTCAGGTTGGTGCTGTTGGCCACCTCCTGAACGAACTCGGGGACGGTGGGCAGGAACTGCTGGGCCGTTCGCTGGAAGGCCAGGTCGACGATCATGGGCAGCACGCAGTCGCAGGTCAGATCGGCCGGCCGCAGAGCGGTGCCCAAAGGGCAGGGGCTTGGGCAGTCTGGGACAAAAGGTGAGACGTTTTAGAATATCTACACAGGTGATTCATGGGTGTTCACTTGACTGCCGATGTTTGAATCGACCTGGATCTGCACAGAATCTGCTGGTCTGGCTACACCTTGATCAGACACGATTGTGTGTTGTGTGAACAATCGTCAACCCCAGTGCTTGTGAAAACCCGGATCCGCTGAAATCCTACTCACAAGATCCGAAGACTCCTCCGCCAAAGATAATGGCACCCACAATGCTACAACCACTTGGGCGTGCTTCACAGTGGGTCAGCGAGATAAGCAATCAAAGTCAGGGGCTTCAGCTCACAGCAGGCAGGCGAAACAAAGGACAAGGAATACAGAAAAGGGGGGGCTGCAACTCACCTCTGTTGGAGGGGGGTGGCGGAGGGAAGATGAGTGGCGGCGCCGGTGCAATGGTCCCATTCAGCTGAGAGACGTTCACGAACGGCGTGACCAGGGGAATAACCGTGAGGTTAAAGCCCAGTGGTGGAGTGCTGAGGGGCGCGCGTGTGCTGATGGGCGCGCTCGTGTTGAGTGGGGCGATAGTCACTGTAGTGAAATTAGGATCCGTTAGATTGAGCGGCGGAAACGTTAAGGCGGGGAGCGTTACGTTGATGATGGGGATCGTCAGGTTGGGTGTGACTGTGGGGATTGTTAAGGCGGGAGTGACAGGTGGGATTGTTAGATTGGGAGTGACAATGGGGATTGTTACGTTGGGTGCAGGCGGAACGGTTACGTTTTGCACTGCTGACGGCGAAAGTGACGCATTCACTAGTGCCGTTGTTGGAGGGGCTAATTGTGACACTGGTGCTGTTATGTTGCTCGCTTGCGGGACAGTAATATTTACAGGCGCCGGCACAGCTGATGCAGGCGTGATTACGGGGGCGAGTGTGGCATTTGCCAGTGGCGCTTGAGAACTGGTAGCTGTTCGAGTGAAAGGCACGGGGTGAGTAGAATAAGGGCGGAAAGGGCGCAATTGATTGGAGAAAATGGTTGAGCACAGCCAGAGGGGGGTAGCAATGATGGAGAGAGGCCACATGCAAGGAGGGGTGTGGAGAGGGGGGACAAGAGGTTAGTTCCCGACATAGTGCCTTGGTCAGGTGAGGGCATTTGGTTAAGTTTAGGGGTTAAGGAGACCAAGACAAGGCAAACAATTTTTGCACTCAACTGCATGACTTATCCAGCAGCTGCTGGCGATGGAATCCTTCTTCAATTAGGGATTCGAATCTTGCTCATGTTTGACATACATGCTAACAGCAGCTGAAGCTGACCTTGCCCTTCTCTTTACCAGCACCAAAGCCATGCAAATCACAGCAGCAACCGGAGACTTTGTTACAGTTTCTTTATGTCAATTGACTCTGAAATTCATGTAAACTAGAGCCCCAAACAGAGAGGGCTCTGAAGCATTTAAGCAGAATGTAGAAAAAGGTACATTCACACCACATCCCAGGGGCAAGCAGGACAAATGAGTTAAAAATATGAAAGGAAAGATTGGAGGTCGAAGCATGTCCTCAAGGAATGATGGTTACCGGGGAAGGACTAAGTGAGCAGGAAAGAAAGAAGACTTACCTGGACAGCAAAAGAAGTCAAGATAAAGTGATAAAAGGTGAAGATCCAAAGAAATGAATGCTCTGCAAATGGCGCTCACCATTGCAGAGGCCCCCAAGAATCGTCTCCAGCCCCAAATAACGTGTAAGAAAAGAAAGGTGACACGCACTGCCGACTATATGCAACAAACATAAATAGAGCCTCAACTTGGGAAAATAGAAGGACTGGATCTTAAGGAGAGAGCAGCATTCAATGCGACCTACAGGGGGAATGGTAGTTATGGACAAGTCTGGACAGCCAAGGACAAATAGTGTCACAAAATCAGTGTCCCTGTTTCACTGGGGGTTTTCCATAGGCACAGGAAACGACTTTTTTAAGTGCTCAAACAAAAATAATCATACCTGGTGCTGATACTGGACTTGAAGATACTGGGGACACTGTGCTTTTTACGAATGGACTTGTGCTATTCATAAAAGATGAGGTGTTGGATTGCAGAGTCCCTACTTGGGGTTGAGTGGACGAAAAAGCAGGCAAAGTGTTGTTGGAGGGTGTTGGTGTAGAAAGAGGGAGAGTAGGACTGCCACTCATGTTGCTAACAGTGGGGGGAAGCACCACGCTCGCTGAGACAGGAGTGGGGGAAAAAGTAGCTGCAGCCAGTGGAGCGTTATAGAGGGAAGAATTGACACTTGTGTTATTGATAGGAGGTAGGATAACACCTGGTGGCATTGACGAAGGAGAAGGGCTTGATGGCAAACTGGCTAGGGGGGAGTTTGAGCCGTTTGATACGGTGGGAAGACCTGTGCTTAGAGCAGGGGTCACAGAAGGTTCGATGGACATGCCGGGCAGAGGCACATTTGTTTGCGGCATTATGAGCGGGGAAAGGGCAGCTGTAGAAGGAGGGGTGTTGGCTGCCGAAGTGGGAAGAGTGGTTGTAGGCAGCGGGGTGATGGAAAAGGAAATATTTGGCACAGTTGCCTCAGGAGCAGTCGTCGACAGATTAGGGCTAGTGTTACCAGGAGATGCAGTGCTCGGCGGAGTGGGTAAGCTAGTAAATGAAGTAGGGGCGAGCGCGATAACCAGTTGGGGCGTACCTTCTCCCACTCTTGTGAGAGCGGGCGTCACTGATGGGCTCCCTGTTTTCTTAAGCGTGCCAATTGGTAAGGTGGGCAAATCAGTGAAAGGAGGCACAAGAGAGGCGGTTGGTAACACCGTACCTGGCAGGGATGCATTAGAAATCGGCGTTGGCAACAGGCTGGCACTCGAAAGCGTGCTGTTTGGCGAGGTGGGTACGTTAGTGACAAGGGTAGGAACAAGGGACGTGTTGGCCTGCACTATCCCTTGCTGGGTTGCTGAAGATGTGGGTGTCAACAAAGGGCTGGCAGTAGCAGTCGGGGTGATATTCATCAAAGCGGGTTCGTTATTGGGAACGAGCGGAGTGGGAGTAGGGGTTGAGGGGGACCCCCCTGGTATATTTGATGCAAGGCTGGTCGTAATAGCGGGCGTGCCAGGCGGAGTGGGCACAACGGTGGTGACTGGAGGAGCAGGCGTAGTGGGAAAGGGAAACCCACCTGGTCCAAGCGTCGTGGGAATCGGAGTTGATACAAGCGGACTGTTCGAACCGAAAGGTGTGGTATTCGGCAAAGTGGGAAGAATCATGGGATTGGGCGTGACGGACGTACCTGTCGAGGGGCCCTGCGGCGCCTGAATGACAGTTGGAACTGGCATGGAGCTAGGCAAAACAACGGCTGAAGTAGCAGACGGGGTGACAGTGGCGATCGGCGACGTACCTGTTGCGGTGGGTGGCCCAAGCGGTGTGGCGAGCGGGGTTGGAACAAGATTGGTAGCAAGAGGTGCAGTACTCGGCAAAGTAGAAAAAGTAGTGGGACTCAGCGGAGCGGATGTGACGGACGTACCTGTGGGGAAAGCCTGTGGCGCCTGCGTAACTGTTGGAATTGGCGTTGGCAGAGTAAGGGCTGAAGTAACAGACGGGGTGACAGTGGTGAGCGGCAACGTACCTGTTGCAATGGGTGTCCCAAGCGTCGTGGGGATCGGGGTTGAAACAATACTGGTAGCAAGAGGTGCAGTACTCGGCAAAGTGGGAAAACTGGTGGGATTCAACGGAGCGGATGTGACGAACGTACCTATGGGAGGGGCTTGTGGCGCCTGCGTTATTGTCGAGACTGGGGTCGGTAAAATAGAGGCTGATGTAACAGACGGGGTGACAGTGGTGAGCGGCAACGTACCTGTCGCAATGGGTGGCCCAAGCGCCGTGGGGAGCGGGGTTGAAACAGGAACGGTAGCAAGAGGCGTGGGACTCGGCAAAGTGGGAAAACTAGTGGGGTCTAATGGAGCGGATGTGGCGGACGTACCTGTGGGGGGGGCTTGTGACGCCTGCGGTATTGTCGGAATTGGCGTGGAGCTCGTTAAAATAAGGGTTGGGGTAGAAGACGGGGTGAGAGTGGCGGGCGGCAACGTACCTGTTGCAATGGGTGGGGCGAGCGTTGCCGGGGGAGTGGCTACTGGCGCAAGTGTCACGGGTGCGGAACTGGGAAGAGAGGGAGCGGGAGTGACGGTGGGCGGTTGTGACGTACCTGGGGGGACGGTCGCAAGTGTCGGGGCCGGCGTCGGCGCTTCCGTAACAACAGGAGTGGTGCTAGCGGGGGTAAGAGACGGAGATGGCGTCGTGAGGGGAGCTAACGTACCTGCGGGTGTGGGCAGGGGGGTGGCGGCGGCAGTAGGAGGCGCAACTGTGGGAGCAACTGTGGCGGCAACAGTGGGAGCCAAAGTGGGCGCAACAGTGGGGGGGAGCGTTTGTGGTGTACCTGTAGTGGCGGCTGGCGTCGGTACAGGTGTGGGTGCCAGAGTGGTAGGTGCCTGAGTGGGGGCACTTGTGGGGGGGGAGGTGCTTGGGGCCGCAGTCGGGGGGGGCAGCGTCGGTGCAGGAGTGGCTGCAACAGTCGGGGCAGCAGTTGGAGGGGGCTGCGTCGGGGGGGGTTGCGTTGGGGGCGGGTTTGTGGGTGCAGGAGTGGGTTGTGGTGTAGCGGGTGCAGGATTGGTGGGTGCGGGGGTGGCCGGTGCTTGCGTAGGCGCAGGGGTCGTTGGAGTTGGAGTGGCGGGGGGCAGAGTGGAGACTACAGGTGCTGGAGTGGGGGCTGAGGTGGTTGTTGAGGGGGCTGGAGTGAACGTAAAAGGAGCTGGGGTCACAGGGGTTGGGGTGGAAGGGGCCGTAGTCGCAGGGACTGGGGTGGTTGGGGCAGGAGTCGGTGGTGGGGGAGCAGGAGTGGGGTCTGGGGCAGCAGTAGTTGGAACCGCTGTGGGACCGGGTGTGGCTGGATCACTGGTGGGGCTTGGGTCTGGGCTCTGTAGCAAGCGCCGGCTTGCAGCTTGCCCCCGTCGGGAAGATTCCTTTCCAGGAAAATCGACATTGAGGATCTCTTGGATGGGCCTCCAGCGCGTGCTTTTCCCTCCGCTTTCCCCTGCCGATGCCCTTTTGAAAGCAGAAGCTGCTTCTAATCTGTCGAGCTCGTGCGCCAAAGTCCCCAATAGAAGGGCCTTCGTAGATCCTGACTGGACTAATGCTGTGCGTGGTGGTGCTTGCCAGTGCCTGTCAGCAGTTCAATGGAGCAGATTGGAAGGTTTGAAATAAAAAATGACAGTAGAGTGGTTTCAAAAGCAGGACAATGATTACATGGTTGCTTAGGCATGCCCTGAGATGTCACAGAGAAAAATGGTTCTGCATGATAAGCAAGGACAGCCTCTATACTGCCATGAGATCAAATTGCTTAATATCACACTGCAACTCCTTGCCCCGATGTGCAAAAGAAAACCTTCTTTTCCAGCATTAGGTCACTGTAAACCTACCAGCATGGCTTCCCTTGCACTGGCTGACAGCTCAAATCTGGACACACCAATCTGCACAGGAGCCAATAATAGGTTGCGAACCTTTTCCTTGTCAATTCACATTGTGAAGCTTCAATTCATACTGTGAAGGTAATTGTGTGCAATTCTCAACACAGATTGCAAGAAGCGAGTCATACAGAGAAGGTCGCTGATTATCAAGGATGCTCTACACCAATGATGAACGTTGTCACTTGTAAAATATGCAGCTGCTCGTGAAATGTGCATGCTTAAAGGCACCGATAATCATGTGCTGAGCAACCTATTTTTCCGACCTTTTTTACATACATCTACAAACTCAATTGTTTCATACAAAGTTTCCAGATATTTGTTCGTTCAGTCAATCAGCATTTCCCTCGTCAAGAACGCGTGTCAACATTTTCAAGGCGTCAAGACATCCAGTAGCCAATGTCATTCCCTCACCAACAAACTTCGCAGCGCGATCGCACTCACCTGAGTTCTCTTTCAAGGTCACTGTCCAGGCCCTCCAGCATGGAGAGGTTGACAAATGCAGCCTCCCCAGCAGACCCTTGCAGACAGTCCATGGTTGTTTGGCAGAGTTTGAAGCGATCCTCTCCCTTAGACCCTGGTGCCAACTTCTGTTGGCACATATCTTTGTTCCCAACCAAGGCATACTTCGGACCGAAGCGCACAACCCCTGAACTGTGCGGCTCCCCATGACGCATGTCCACCAGAGCCAGCCCCCTAGGCAGCTCCGGAAGGGGCCCAGGGGGCGCCAACATGAGGTCAACACTGCCCCCTGAGGTGGAGGCGAGGCACGCAGCGAAGTCCAGCATGTGACGACTGCATAATTAAAACGAGTTTGTCGAGTGGAGGTTTGCTGCCAAGCAGATGTAAGGAAAACATGCAGTAGACGTTTTGCTGTCGTTCTGTTGAGTGGCCACAAGGACAGCAGGAAATGCACTTGCTTTGAAAAACATTGATTATCTTCTAGGAGGTGGGAAACCAGAGGTGTTGACACTAGGTAGACATTCGCAACTTCGATAACGGAAAACCTTCAGAGCCCCAAACTCAATGTGTGACATCTGCTCTTCATCAAGATACAGAGACGAATCCACACCTTTTAATCTTATATCTGTATCCTATGTAGCAACTGCAACTCAAGGTCGTCCAGACGCACCAAAAACTCTTCTGTTAACCATTCAAGCAAGCGTCATTTTGGATAACTCCGCCTACACAATCATCCATAACCATCGAAACTATACTTCGCAATGCCATGCTTGTTGTTGCAAGTTGACAGTAAGACTCTCCTCACCATTGCAACCCTGATCCAGCACCCCATGTACCTGCAGCCGTGGCCAGGAGCTCGCACTGCTGCTGACCAGGTTCAGAGTACACGCACCATTGCAGATCTAGGGAAAGACAAGAGAACCTGTTTGAGAATATGAGGCAACCTGCGTGACTCCCAGAGCAAACCAGAGCTGTCACCTTGTGATGTGCAAGAGACAAGAAATATCATGCTGCATTCCATGCAGCAGCTCATCATGCCCTTGGTACAATACGGACATACACGCCTTCTGAGCCTGTTCATGTCCGATGTCCACTCACCCTCTCCTTTGCTTCCCACAGTGAGGCCCAACAAGAACAGCTGCAATACTACAACCAGGGCGTGCCACCTTTGGCAGAGGCCCCCACTTCCCGCCATGCTGCCTCCCCAGGGGAGTTCCCAGCCTCTTCTCATTTCGCCTTCATGCCATTTTCCATCCATTCCAGCTTGAGACGTACCTGTGGACCGTCATGGTGGCCACAGTCGGACTCGCAACCTGCCTAGGTAGTCTGGGGCTCGCTAGCGAGCAGAAGGTCAGCAAAAGGTTCAACACCAGCAGCAGCCATTGCCACGTACCGGGGTATGCACTGGCGCAAGTAGGACAAAGTACACTTTTATATTAGTGTCTCCGGAAATTCTTCTGTGTTAACACCCTCCCGTGCCGCGACCATAAGTGAAACAAATCTATGAAGCTGGCCGGTAGGTACCATACCTGCACAGCGGTCATCCGGGCACTTGCTATCGCCGGCCGGGTAGCTGGACGACCGCCAAATCTTTCTGTGTCAATCAGTTTTGAATCTTTTTTAAGCTACCTAATACGGTTAAACGGTGTCTGTGACTGTAACTTTGATTTTAGGATTGACACTGTGACTGTGGTTGAGACTGTAACTGTGACTGAGACTGAGACACGATTAAACCTTGATTGTGACCGTAAACTGTGGCGCTTTTTAACCTGCCGGAAACCAATTGACTCATACTGTGGGTCTTGACACCATGGACACTTTAAGAGGTACCTAGACTGTGACTGTGACTGAGACTGAAAAGGCAGTCACCGGGAACTGAGAGGTCCCCAGGAGGTCCCCGGGAAGTGGCTCGGTACCAGGCCGGTGCCCGGTCAAAGAGGACCGGAGTCCCGCATCCAAGCAAACAGACCACTCTGACACATGTCAGACCATTAACCAATGCCGACGCCCTGTGAGAGTATTTACCCTGACAGATCGACCGGAGACACTAATATAATAGTGTAGATTGTCCCTTTTGCTGCACTGGCACATCATGCTCAGGCTTGCATGACTCCGATGTCAAGAGAGTACCTACCTACCAGAGGATTGGTAGGTGGCGCGGGGAGTTCTCCAGTTCACCCTGCCCGGGGCTCACGCCTATTTCTCTGCCCGGAATGCCACGGTGTCCGCGATTTGCGTGCATTCAAACCGTCCGATCCGGTCTGAATGGCCTCCAGGCTCCGCTCTTCTTTGTCCGTGACATTGACCGCTATTGATTTAGCGATAATATGGCAGTGACCGAGCGACAAAATCGGGAAACCTTGACAAAATGACACTTCTCCTGTAAAAGGCTTACACCGATACAGTACCGAACCCATAAAGTGTCAATGTGAACTTCTTGGATCCGACATCATCCGACCGAGGCGTATAACAGTGAACCCGGCGAAGATTTACCGGTAGACCGTAGCACCCTGGTTCCTACCGTCAGTACCACATACTGGTAACTGTTGTATGAACTAACAGACGTAAACAGTAAGACCCGGAATTCGAGTTACTCGGGCACTCCAAACGAAAAACTCTAACCCATGGGTACGTGCAGGTTCTCCACTCGAAGCCACCCTAACCACCCATCTAACATTATCCATCTCCCGGGCGCCTATCTAAAGTCATCGACGAGTTACGGGAGCTAGTACACTGTACATTGCTGCACCATGGCAGCCAGTACGTACCAGCCTAATAATTGCCTATCAGCCCTCATACGTATTTGGTACCTCTAGGCAGATCTGAGCTGCTGAGCGCTTTTACCTGTCAAAGATTTCATGGTCAGTCCGTCACCCTTCACGTCAAGTCAGGATTCTCCAATTCTCCCGGGATTCGCATTTCAGCATTTTGATGCAAAGTTGCAGTAATTCGTGAATCAGGTGGATGACGGGTGGATGAAGGATTGGAGGAATGAAGCAATGACCATGCATGATTCCATAAGCACTTCGCATGTTGAAACTGATGCTCACTTCTTCTACACGCGATCGTATGGATAAGGACGAATCATCGAATGACGCAAAAACAGATTATTTCCAACCTGGGCGCTCAGCCCTCGTATCCCATTCGTATTGGACAATGATGCCTCCTCAATCGAAACGAAAATACATCTCCATAAGGAGGATAAAAGATAGAAAGTATCGTAACGGGCCTATATGCACCCGAAAAGGTACCAACAATTGAGAGGATGTGAGAGCTCCCTGTGAGCACTGGGTGCTAGCACACTGCGCGACCACATTGGTTGCCACTTCGTTTTGATTTCGAGGACCGCACAACTACTTACTTCATGTAACTTTCATTATGACGGCATTATTTTTGCAATCAGCTCCTTATCACGATCCAAGAAGACTTCTGACGGCTACATGTGTAGTCAAACTGCCTGCTCGTGAAATTTCGAATTTGGCGTCTACATCCATACATCGCAGCCAAATGTAGATGCCAAATCGCCGTTTGCCGTCTACAATGCAACTAGCTTGCTAGCATCGGCATCCTTGTTATGAGGATCAAAGTAGATCCAGACTTCTTCCTTGAACGAAGCTTGTCAGGCTTGCAACGATCATGTGTCATGCATTGACATGCACGAAGTCAAACCTGCGGTTGACACCATTGACGCACAGGCATACTGCACGCAATTCTCTGACCGTCCGGATGATCGACCCAACCTGGTCGTGCATAATTATGTTAAACGAGGAAGTGAAGGGTGCTGCACTGAGAGAGTGCTCAACAGAAGGCCGACTCCTCCACTGGCATCATCTGCACGGCTTGTAACTCAGGGTAAGGAAACAAGCTCAGTCAAAAGCAATCTGAAGGTCCTTCAGAGACGGTTAGTAACACGATAACAGGGTTAGTAATCAAACAAATCTACTAGGATTAAGAAGCGACCCAACACGCGTGCGCTGTAATGTGCAGGCGCTTCTGCACCTACATACTGTACTCTGCCTTAAGCTTCCTAATCAGTGACGACTCGGTGCGCAGCGGAATGAGCTTCTCGCACGGCGCTGCCGTGGAATGCCGGCGCGCAGGGCTGGCCGCGTCGCCGCTCGTTTCCGCGGACGGAGGTTTGGAGCGCGGGGGGCCAAAGCAGCTAGCTGACGCCGGGCGGTGACTAGATGTAGATACATTTTTCATTTTATCAACACGCCTGCCCTTACGTTCCGACGGGCTTCCTGCTTCGGACCTTAGGTCACCCCATGACACTGTGGACGAGCGCAACCCTCCTTCTCGAAAAACGCTGACGTTATCGCGTCGACCCGCCGGAGAGCAGGGGGCGGAGAAGCTGTAAAAGTGTTCAGGGGACGCCCCCGAGGCCTCGGAAGGGAGCCCGCAGTTAGGCGAATCAACGAGTCTCTTGAAGGACGCTAAAAAGTGAGACTTCGACCTCCGCCGTGCTTCGAGATCCTGCAGTGAGAGCAAAAATGGTGGAGTTTACAGCCATTCTCTGTCGTCCTCAATCGCATAGTACCACAATCAGAGAGCGGTTGCACGTTGCTCAATCCAAGTAAGCCTATGCCACGCCCGCAAGGTAAGACGGACGTCTCAATCGGATGCTCTCAAACTCAGGAAAGAAGAAAGCAACAAAAGAACGAACAACAAAAAAAGGGGCGACACTTCTAGCGACTCACCCGCAGCTTGGTCGCCACCCCCGCCTTGAGCGCGGCCAGCGCCTCCTCCCGCTTGAGCGCCGCCTCCTCCCCCCGGGCCTTCTCCCCGCTCTTCAATGTTCCGGTGAGCTCCCCCGGGGGGTCGACCAGGCCGGGCGACAGGCCAGCGCTCAGAGACTCTTCGAGGAGTTCGTGGCGCGCGAGCGTGTGCAGAGGGCGGCCGGACTTGTCGCTGAACGACTGGAACGGAGCAACGGAAACGAGAATCATTAACTCGAGCGGCGACGTTGAGACTTCGATGGGTGTGGATGCGGATATTTACTGGTTGAGGCAGCGAATGATGAAGGGAATCAATGCGCGAATTCGGAAAGAGGGCCATGGCAAAGTTTTAGGCCTGGATGAAATCGTGACCGGGTGCGTCCAACAAGAGCACACTCGGGGTCGACGCCGGAGAACGTGAAGGCAACAAACCAAAGCGAGATGAAGGTCGCGTCAGGCCGCAGAGCCCGCAGATGGTTTGAAAGCGAACGGCAGTGCGACTTGTGAGAACACTCACCCCCGAACGCTGCCCTCAAAGTTGCGCCCAGCCTTTTGCAGGCAGTGTTGGGTTCGGTGGGGTTTGGGGGTTCTCACCTGTTTCTTCCCGGCGAGGCGGCCGTCAAAGTACTCAAGCCGGAAGGCAGCTTCCTCCTCGAGCGACTTCCAGACCATTTGGAGGACGTCTGTCAGCGGGAGCGTAGTCAAGGAAAAGTGGGTGCGTATACGGCCTCAGCATCTGATCCAACAGGAGCTATTACTTTGGTGATGGCTTTTCGGATCTCACTTGTACTCCAAATCCCTCTTAAACGGTCTTCGCAACGTTTGACTGCTGCTCGCGGGATTTTCCGTTGGAATGTCGTCATCGTTGGAGCTTTGAAAGTAGTGGAGGCAGCGGGTGCGAGCCGAACTATTTTCGGGACCGACTCCACCAGATAGATGCTCATACTACCAGTCGTTTGAAAAAACCTCGAAGCAGGGCACGGCGCAAGCAAGCGGCGCGGAAGAAACAACAGAAAGCATGCCCACTGCTCTTGCTCTCTCCACCCGCGCACGCAAGCAGACCAAGCAGGAAAACATGTCACGGCGCATCTCTTAAATTGTCGTCGTTTAGAAATTGACACGTTACCCCTTCCAGGGGAGCGAAAGCAGGGGCAACAGCCCCATTTGTGGCTGTATTACTAGCGTATCTCCTGAAGTTGGGGCGTGTAAAAGTGCTGACGCTGGCAAACTTTGGAGCGCGCCACGAGAGGATACGGGCTGTGAGGTCCATCCGGTTGATGTAATACAGCTTGGTCGCCCCGTGCGCTTCTACCAACCAGTTGCGGCGCATGCGCGGGAACAACGAGCCCTCCCCGAAAAACTCCCCGGGGCCCAAACGGGAGATGGTGCGCCCGTCGCTGCACAGAAATCAAGCGAACTTAAGAAAGAGAGTGATGATAATCAGCTAGAATAATAAGGAGGTAATCTCAATGGGACGGCTAGGGTTGGTTCTGTTTTGGGCTGGGAAGAGGTGCGGAGCAGCTAGGCGCACTAATCGGCTTTCGGTGTAAGAGGGTAGTTTCTTTATTTGGCCAAGTATCACCTTCCTTGAGTTCCATTAGAAGTCGCAAGACAGATAAGGAAACGGGATAGTGCAGATCGCCTAGAAGCAGGCGGGTTTTATCGACGGAGACAAGAAGCAGGATTCGTGGGAGATTTCTATCTGTTTCTGTGCGCTCTGCAGTTGCTCTGTGGAGCTTTTCAGTCTCTCGCTGCCCTTTCCGCCGATGTCCGGTCCATCGACATTGCATTTCAATTGCATGCCCGCAAAAATGCTTTTAACTTCTCTTTGCATCGGAAGAATGGCATATGGCTACCAAGTAATCGCGAATGCTTTACCAGATCCATCCCCTGCTCGGACGTCCAGTGCACGTGTATCGAAGGACAAGTCGGACCTTGTTACTTGAGGAACATCTCATGAAACCCGAGACTCGCCGCCAATCTTTACTGATATGATTGTTTTCGGTCACTTTCCGGCACAACTTATAAGAGGACGCACCGTGCAGCTTTGACACGCCGTCATTCAAAGTTTCCAAGAAGTATTCTGTACTGTGCTTCAGCGTTGATTCAACCTCCAGGATTTGGAAACAACCGATTCACCTGTAGAAGGACGGCACGTCGAGCTCCGGGTTTCCGGTGTCGAGAGTGACGGGGGGCAGGTCCCCGCCCTGCGCATGCTTGAGCTGACACTCCCCCTCGATGATGAAGTACAACCGCTCTTCCTCCTCCGCGTTAATCACTAAGAAATGAACAATACCAGGGTTTCGGTAAGTAGGAGAAGGCGTAATCGGACAATCAGGGGTGAGAGACAGAGGAGTCGGCCCGGTCTTGGAAAGTCAGGGGGCGATAAGCTCGGGGACGCGATGCTAATCAGCTATTTGCTACAAACAGACGTTTTGACTGCTGAGGGGAGGCGGACCTTAATCCAGATGGATGCCAAGTTGGCTCTCTCTTGCAACACGTTACAGAGCGCTTTGTTATGGATACGGCAGCACGGCACTTGTGACCTTTGTGTCGAGGCCCTTCCTTGCACGGCCACGCAAGCGCCAGACACGGTCGATCATTGGCTTCATAAGGGGGTCAGTATCTGCAAATGCAATTACTGACTGCGGCGACGGTGAGGAGTCTCAAAAAGCACAGTTTCATTCCGCTCGTTGCCTCCCTTATGGACATGACATGCTTCCAAAAACGGCAAGGCATTTTTATTCGTGATCTTATTGGCCGAAACCCTTACCGGGTTGACCGCGTTGACCGAGATCGAAACTTGAGCGACTAACCCCCTATTAACCCCAGCAAAACCCCTGCTTCGAAAAACGAGAAATCCTTGACCCCATACTAAACCCTTCATCGCAAAAGTTCCAAGGGGGAGGACATTCTAGTTGGACAGGCTGACTGTTTCACAGAGGTTTGAGTCCCCTACCAGGATGTATATGGAATCGTACTCCTATTTTGGCGAGCGCACGGGTTTGGTCCCAACCAGGCAAACCAGGACCTCGATACGCTCAGATTGCTTCAAGGCGCGTCAGCTATACCTTGTTCACAATGAAAACCAATACTTCAGGAAGCCGAGTATTTTTCGTTCCTGCAAAGGCGCACCTGTTTTGTCTTCGCACTCTCGAAGCCTGAAGAAGGTGGCAATCTTCTCTATCTCGTCGGGGAGAAGCTTGAAGAAGGAGTAGATGGAGTGCAGGAACTCGACGCGTCGGATGCGGGCCAGGTCAAAAAGAGGCTGCGAGATGAGCGGTGACGAAAGTTTAGAACGCGTCCATTTCGGACAGTGCTTGGCCGTAATCAGGGGCATATCAGCAGCCTTTCCTTCTTTCAGACTTATACAGTCTTCACAAAGAAAGAGCGTTTTTCGACCTTCAGCGCTTGATCAGAGTGGATATCTGCTTTCGCCACCTTTAACAAGCGGATATACGGGTGCTGCCCGTCTCGAGAATTCTCTGCCATGAGCTACTTTCAGAGAAGCAGATAAAAAGCGTAAGTAAAAGTAGTACGAGAGCTAAGTGCCGCCAATATTCGCGGCAACTGAGCCCACTTGATGGGTGCGGATCAAGACACACCTCAACTTGATGTTGACTTATACCACTTTGCCTGAGGCTCGTGCCCGTTGCAAATAAAAAAACCAACGGAACCTGGAAAGATACGGTCCGCACCCATAATCCCCCTAACCAACCCTACCCGTTCTTCGGGCACTTTCGTCAGTCATTATGAATATGAGACAACTGGATTTTAGACCCAAACTTCGCTCAAAGGTTGGAAGGCTGCTCAGGCAAAAACGCGACGGATTTCCGACTTTACTGGACGGCAGTCGTTGGATTCGTATGACAGAAGCTTCTCAGGATTCCATTATTCTGAATGCTTGTACGCGTTGCGTATCCGGCCAAAGTAAGAACCAGAGTGGCGAGAGGGAACGCAGACTGACCCTGAACAGTCTGTCGAAGTCTTCCTTCCCAAATACGAGCAGCTCGATGCGCGTCCGAGCAGTGACGGTTGCTGATCGTCTTGTACCCTTGAGAAGTCCAATCTCACCGCTGCAAGATAGTCCATGCTTAGACTTAGAAGGACGAAAATGTTATTTCGCTGTATTCTTCTTGGACGGTCGAGCTGTTGAAATAAGGAGAATTTCTAGGACAGCCGTTTGCGAAGTCACGGTTCCAAAAGTGGGTCAGCGTGCAAAGCTGGAAACGCGTCAAAAGACTCCGACGTGAAAACGTTTTCGACCAACAACTTGTGACGTTGGAACAGGCGCTGAGCTACATAGCACCTCTCTGTAGTGTGAGAGCAGAGCAACAAACGGCGACGTTTGTCCGAACCTTCCAAAGGAGACGTGAACGCACATAAGATTCTCTCATCGCCTCCCAAACGTAATACGCCTGTCACCAGCTCAGAGCTCGAGCTCTGCCTTCTTAGAAGCACTTACTCTGAAAGCAATATGTAAGGAGCAGTTTCGCCGAGCACTGACATTGATTGCAATCGTGAGTTCCTTTCAGTCGGTTGAACCCCACAAAACATAGAAAGGTTTTGCCCTTATCCACGATTGATTGAAAGGCATCGAACCAGAAATGAACCAAGTTTTCTTGGTAGAAGGAACTTCGAAGCAACCACAGACCAAGCTTGCTTAACACTGATTTCTTCCTGGTCAAGTTGCTTCCCGTGGGTGGTACTTACAAATACTCCCCCCGCGCGAGCACGTTGACCGCCTTCAGCAGATTCCCGTTTGCGATTTTAACCTCCGCTTTTCCCCGAAGAATGATGTAAAACTCAGTGGACGGCTCGCTCTGATGGTGCACTGTGATAAAACAGAACGTTGTTAGTATGGGAGTCAACCGTTGGAGTTTTGACTCCCGTGAACTCTCGGGGTTTGGCAACTTGAAAGAAACGATCCACGAGATTGATCTGCATGAGCTTTTTCGTCAGGAACACGAAACTTAGAAGGGCTGCTTGTGGTGCTGTGTCGCGAAAGCGGCACTCGGTCGGAGTGAGTCGGGCTGTCCTTGAATCTTGATACTTGACGTGACTTGACGAGAGACACAGCACTTATGCCTAGGGCCTCCAGAGAAGATTCCCCGCTTCTCGATGCCCCAGAACGTTTGCAGACCCAACTCGCATCGGCGCACCGCTAGTGTAGGCCTTGAGCTTCTGCCCGCGGACGACCCTTATCAATTTCCAGTTGCCCCAAAGCCTCGACCCAGGGAGAGCAAGAACTGTGACTTTCTGTCCGCCCGAGACCAGTCAACCAGAGCAGAATTGGAACATAAACTAGCTGGTGTATGCCTGGTACCCTTGCACGCGCTCGACTTTTGTCACCTTGCGACTTGCCCCAACCTTAGACGGCTGCACAATCAGACTCTGATCCGGCATGACCCTTTTTCTCTGTGGGTGGGTTTCCGAAAACAGCCGACGATGAATCTGAACACCCCAAAACCTGGATTCCGGGTAGAGGAAGCAGACTTCTGATCGCCGGACCGCTGATGTATGCCTGGTACCCCTGCACGCACATGGCCCCTACCATCTCGTGATCGCCCTAAAGCCTCGACTGAGAGTAGAACCCGACTTCTTGTCGCTTCCTGAATGCCCCGAAACCTTGAAAGAATGCAATGCAGACTGAGATTTACGCACCGCTGGTATATGCCTGGTACTCTTGCACGCGCATGACTTTCGTCACTTCCTCCAGCACGCCCTGCGTGACGTCCTTGAAGAGTGGGGTCAGTTGCTGCAGCATGATACAGATCTTCTCCACGATCTCGGGCGTGCGCTCCTCCAACGGCGTCTCGCACAGCCGCCGCATCGCCTGGAGGCTCATTTGTTGAACCTGGTCCCGCAACGAATCCTGCAACGAGATGAAATGCTTCATGTTTCCTGCAACTAGTGTTTTCTCTCCTCCTTTGACCAAATGGAGGGAATGGGAGGCTTAAATCGCGGAAGCGATGAGATCTCGTTCAAGAAAGACTGGAATAAAGGTAGTAGAGGTGGCCGCAGGAGAATCCGCAGGTGACCCTAAGATGGACTTCTAAGGTTGATAAAACGGACAAATTCTGGGCGATTCAGGGCAGGAAACCTTGTGATGGTTTGAAGTCTGATCCTTGCTTCGTCTGGCAAGGGCCGAGCACCGCAATGATCGTCGAGCAAAGTGGGGCTACCAAATGTACGAGCGTATTTGCACCTTGAACAGTTCTCTGATCTGTTCCGTGCAAGCAACCCAACGGACGGAGGAAGCCACTGGTGACCACTGTGACTATGATGCAATCAACAGAACGCAGATTGGTGAAGATTTCACAGCGGAGGATTGCTGGTTGCTTCAAAAGCAGGAACTTGCATTATGCTGCATATAAGCATCCCCCTGGCGGATCCAAGCGCAACACTGACCTTGAGGCCTGATCCACGGGTCGCTGAGCTGGCAGCAAACTTCCGAAAGGACGGCACAGCCGTCAGCTTTTCGCTGTGCCCGTTCGGCTTGTGACTCGGCCTTCTTTCACCCCCAGGCAAGTTCTCCGGGGATCCCTCTGGGTGACCGCTCCCCGGATCGATCGTTGCTCTCCGCTTGGAGTGCTTTTTCGATTCCACAGAGTCCCGCTTGGGCGCCACCACGTCTGCCTGGACATGCACTTTCGCGAGCTTCATTATCGTCGCCACTGCGCGCACGACTTTCAGCCGCGCCTTGTTCTTTCCCGAGCTTCCCGGCCGGTCGGCCGCATCGGCGCCGCCGTGCTCCTTGCTGCGCTCGCTGAACGCCTTGAGCGCGTTTGCGAGCGCCTCGTCCCGCGCGCGCAGCTCCATTGTGCGGCGCTCGAGGATGTTGACATGCTTGCTCGCCATGCTGGTTTGCAGGGCTCATTAAACCCTTGCTACACTCCGTTTGACGCGCCCATAAGCAGGGGTTGCAAAACCGTGGTGGTCCAGTGCTTTCTAGGAGGGCGCATTGCTGCGCTGCCAATGAGTCGCAGCTGAGGAGGCACCTTTGAAGTGTTCATTCAAAACATTCAAAACACATTCTTGAAAGTAGGGCTCTACTCCTACCTATGTAGAGTCTCAGCCTGAGTGAGCTATGTTCCCCCAGAATCAGGTACAAAGTCCTTTTGACCTTTTGAAGAAATTTGCGCCGGCTAAGGCAGGAATGAGCCACTGATACTGTGGCAAAAATCCAGCTGCAACTGTTCTATAGGTTTCGCGCTTATGCCTTCAACTAGGCTTCCCCTTGCAGAGATCCTGTCAATACAATCTTTCTGCAGATAATCCTCTAGCCCGTTAAATCTCCATGGAGACAGATATCAACCACAGGGGGCCAGGACGATGCGGGACGTCTAGACAGAAAACGGGGTAATCTTGCTCGCAGGAATGACCGTGTTTGTTTGCTCGTCCTTGCATCCGTCTAAATATCTTTCCTAAACGAAGCGCTCAGCCTCTTCCAGCCTAGACCTAGAGCTAGGAATTAAACTCCTTTCACCCTGTAATCTGTCCGTGATGACATGAGCAATGACCAATTGACCTGACAAGCTGGGCCCCAATCCCGGGGCCGAATGAAGTGCTCTAGGTAGCATGGCGCTGTGGCATGGGGCCATGAATTGTGCGGGAAAAGCAAGCAAGGTAAACTTAGGTACCTGCTGTTGATCAGTGTTCGAGAATCTGATTGGTGATTCATCCCGCATCAAGACTGGATTGGTCAACACACTGTGGAAACATATCTAAACATCTGAAGTACAACCGCATGCAAGCTGAATTGCGAGCGCGCAATTCCGCTTCGAACATTTCTGACAACTTTTCTGACATCCACCTGCTGACAGAAACTTGGCCGTCCGATGCGCCCGAGAGGGCACTAACGTCCGTCGATTAAGGCCATCTGGGCGCGAGGCCACTATAGTATAGTACCGGCTACTCAGGGTTTCCCGCAGCCGGCACGCTGGGGCGGACCTGGCCGGTAGATTTGCCAACCCGGCCGGTGCCGAAGGCACCCTGCCGGCTTTGTGCCGGCCCTGCAGCCGGCTCTGCCAGGACCCTGCCAGCCAGAGCCTAATAGACTGGTCGCCACTAAAACCACCACCCGCACTATACCGTAGTCCAACGTGATGATTCCGAATAAATAAATAAATATCTGCGTTCGGAAAGTCAGAAACTCCGATTTTCCATTCGGAAAGTGAAAATTCGGAAACGCAAAATAACTCTGAAATGGTCCTCGGAAGCCGTAAAACTGCCAAAAGCAGCTTAAAATTCCCCTTTTGAGTGAGACCATAGGGCATTCGGATTTTGGTCGGAATGAGCATAAATAATTCTACTTTCCTGGTCGGATTGTTGGAAAATAGTTCGAAATAAAATCGTTCGGAATCATCACGTTGGACTACGGTAAACACTCCTACATGGTAGGATTGGCAGAATCACCTTTCGCAACTTGAAAGGTGTTGAAGGGTCCATGGGGCGCAAGCTCTCCAGGGACCCTGTGCTGCAGCACCACATCACATGGGGTCCACGTTGGCTGTCTTCTCTGGCCTCAGAGCCCTTGGATGATGTATGAATGGTGAGGATTGAAGGAGCAGATCA